GAGAGGTGCGGCCGGGCGGCTGCCTTACCTGCTCCCTGGCTAGGCTGGAGGCCAGTGGGGCGCAGCTGAGCTGGGGGGGAGGAGGACGGCCCGCCAGCCAGCCAGCCAGGTCTCCAGGCCCCGCCGGGAGGTTGGCACCTGCGCTCGCCTAGAGCGCAGGACCACCTCAGGCCGGCCCTGGGCATCTTATATTCAAGGAAGAAGACTTGGCATCCAGCCTTCTGAGCATAGAAGTGAAGGTTACAATGTATTTTCTTTTTTTACTTTCACAGAAAACAGAGGTGAATATGCTCTTGTATATAGCAGACAATCTAGCTTGTTTTCCTTACCAAACCCAGGAGGAGCCACTTTTTATAATGCACCATATAGACATTACATTATCAGTTTCTGGTAGTAACCTTCTCCAGTCATTTAAAGAGGTGAGTGCAATTACATTTTAATCTCTCTCTTTCTTGGACAGTAACCTCTCCTACACTACCTTCCTAGTGCTCAAGGTGGGTCTTCAGTAATTCAGAATGCATTACATGTATTAAAACTAATGGCGGCCCACTATTTTTCATCTTCGCAATGCCAGGTTCAATAATAACAGTGGCCTCACATTGTTCCTTGGGAGTGTTTTATGTACTGAGTTGCAGGGCAAGGAGACATCTGTGTCATACAGTGCACCACAGCCAGGTTCACAGGACACCTTACTGCTCTCCAGAACTCCCACAAATCTTGCAATACAAATTCTGGGATTTATTAGAGGGAGTCAAGTTTTTATAAATTTGTCTTAAATCCAACTTTTCCTTGATGACATATAGTTAAGAGCTGTAATTGTCATATTCCAAACCCTGTGTAGACAGTGTCTTTTTATCTGGAAGCATTTATTGTTTCTGGACATGACCCAGTGATACCCCTGCTGCAGTGATTAAATATCTAGCTAAACCAGCTTGACTTTGTATAACTTGTGCACTATTAGAATGTGGACAAAGACCTGCAGCTGTCTCTTGTTGGCTTGGAATCTGAATAATAGAACTCCAAAGTACTGTGTTTATGCCAGTCCTTGGAGTGCTAGTGAGAATCACCTGTGGAGTCTCCTCTTCCTAAATTCACAAAAGGAACTGTGTAAGCAGTTCCTGTTGTTTCTCATACTACTCATGAAAGCTGCTAGTCCTCTTTGGAGAAGACCTCAATGAGAGGAAGGGCTAAATTGTTCTGTTGTTTGTAATTGCTTGTAATCGCATGGGGAGACCTGTGTAGGTAGAAAGGCAGGATACAAATGGGTTAGATAAACACCCAGTGAACTTGGAGCTGCTTTGGGCTGGGGGTGGCGGGGTGGTGGTGGCATTCATCTGTTCCCGTAAATCATTGACTGGTACTACATCCCTAGATTTTTGCAGGGAAGTTGAAGAGTTCTTTTTTTGGTGGCTTTATTCATTTCAGTATCTTAATATTTTAATGCACGCTGTTCATTAGTTTATTGTTATTATTATTAAAAGTTAGTCTCACAAATGTTTTTCGAAGCAGAGAACCACCTCTGAAACATTGTTTGAAATTTATTATTAAGTATTATTTGGGCAGATATCACTATAGATGTGATGCTGCTTTAGAGAGCCATGTTTTTAAGGTGCCCTTCATAGCAGCAGTAGGAGTTTGGGGCCTGCTTTCTACATCGTGCAGCCCCATGCTGCAAGGATGCCTGCGTGGATGGCATGACCACAGGCATGTTCCCGGTGGAGTGCCACCTGGCGAGAAAGACGGATGTGCTTTTCTGGCCACAGTTTATTTAGAAAATGTGTTTAGAAATATCTGAATGCCGCCAGTCCAGAGCTGATTGATTGGGATTGTACCATGGAAGTGAATCCTGTTTCGTTGGGAGCACGCGTGGTTTAATTTATCAAGTGATTTATCAAAGGGTCCAATTGCGTTCTTCATTGGTCTTTCAAGTACTATTTATAATACATCTAACTAAATAGGTGCACAAAACTGGGCTTTTGAGACCAGATTCTTTCACAGATTGCCGTGCGAGAGAAAGTGTCTGTTTTTACTGAACAAAAATGCTGTAAAGGACTGTCAGTAATGAAATTTAATGGACACATCCACTGTATTTAATAAAAAAATGTAATACTATGATCTTCAACATACATGCTAGGGTGCCTTCCTTAATTTTTATATTTGAATTTCTCATAATCCAGGATTTGGTATTTCATGATTTGAGAACCATTAAATAATAGGCTGGTCTTCAAATAACTTTTAAAAAACATATATAATGGTGTTTGCCACTCTCTCTTTCAGTCTATGGTAAAGTATAAAAAAGAGCGAAAGCCTTCATCTGATGAAGAGAGTGAAAGTGAAAGTAACAGTGAGAGCGACAGTGACAGCGAGGAGGAAGTCCACAGGCCCCGGAAGTTACGGAAACGTGCAGATTCAGAGTCAGATTCTGATGAAGAGAATGATATAAATGCCGTCATGAAGTGTTTGCCAGACAATTCAGCGCCTCTAATTGAATTCGCAAATGTCTCCCAGGGTATATTGTTGCTTTTGATGTTAAAGCAGCATTTGAAAAACCTCTGTGGATTTTCTGATAGGTATGGATAAGATTTTGCTTACTGCATGTACAGTGTCATCTGTTTCCCATATTCCTGAAATGCTGGTAGGGAATCAGTGCAGCTGTGTAATGCTGATATATAACACAATCTAGTAAGCTTAAAATTGCGTTTCTGTAACAGTAGTGGTTTGGTAATTCAGAATAACTGCAATTGTATAATTTTTATCAATGGGTGCTGGACAGTTTTCTTAACTTCTGACTGTTGTTTTTTCTCCCCCATGATAGTAAAATTCAGAAATATTCCCCTTCTGAATCGGCAAAAGTGTATGATAAAGCGATAAACAGAAAGACAGGAGTTCACTTCCATCCGAAACAGACGTTGGACTTCCTTCGAAGTGATATGGCTAATTCCAAGCTCACAGAAGAAGTGAAGAGGAGTATAGTTAAACAGTACTTAGATGTAAGTTGTGAGATGTGATGGAATTTCAACTTCCTTTGTAAAAGGATTTTTTTTTTTTAAGGCTTTTAATTCTTTAGAAAGTGGTAGATGAGGCTTAACAATGAACATGCTGAGACTGGCTCTGTTTTGGGGAACAACACTTTTTCTGCAATTACTACCCAGCAACCGATATTCAGAGAAATTTGTTTGATGATGGAGGTTCCATTTAGTAGTGGTGTAGGAGCTGCGGTGGCTCAAGTGGTTAAGACGCTGAACTGCAGGCTGTGGAAGGCCGGTAGTTCAGCAGTTCGAGACCCGAGTGTGCCGTATGACGGAGTGAGCTCCCGTCTCTAGTTCCAGCTCCTGCCAACCTAGCAGTTCGAAAGCAAGAAATTGCAAGTAGATAAATAGGTACCACTTCGGTGGGAAGGTAACAGCGTTCCGTGCGCCGTGGTGTTTAGTCATGCCGGCCACATGACCACGGAAACGTCTTCGGACAGCGCTGGCTCTTCGGCTTTGAAACGGAGATGAGCACCGCAACCCTAGAGTCGGATTCGACTGGCTTTCGAGCAAGGGAACCTTTACCTTTACCTAGTTCCTGTGTGCCCTGACCTGGATAGCCTAGACTAGACTGATCTCGGAAGCTAAGCAGGGTCAACCTTGGCTAGTGTTTGGGAGACCTCCAGGGAATACCGGGGTCTTGATGCAGAGGAGGCAATGGCAAACCACCTCTGAATGTCTCTTGCCTTGAAAACCCCAAGGGAGCCATAAGTCAGTTGTGACTTGATGGTGTGTGCGCACACACACACACAGTTCCCATCTGGCCACTAATTGGTATAGAGACCCTAGTGTGTCCTCTTAAAGGCTTAAAAAAGGTGAGCTGGTGATTCTAATTCTGAATCATTTTGTTTGAGACAGGAACATGCTGTTGGTGGTCACTTTCGTTATCAATTCTCTAAGTATTTCAATTTCCACTGAAAGATGGGGCTTCTGCTATACAAAATTTGTTGTGTTCAATGTTCTGATTTTGGAACTACTTTGGACTTAGCAGGAAGCTACTAGAAAGCTAAAACTATTGAACCACTTATTTTTAATTACTTTTTTAGGGAGCAAAAGTTTGAGTCCAGTGGCACCTTAAAGACTAACAAAATTTCCAGGGTATAAGCTTTTGAGAGTCCCGGTGAGCTTTGACTCTTGAAAGTGTATACCATGGAAATCTTGGTTTTTAAAGGTGCTTCAGGACTCAACTCTTGCTCTTCTACTGCAGACCAACACAGCTACCCACCTGCAGCTTTTTTTTTTTGAGGGAAACGTTCTAATTCACGTATAAATGAAGAAAACAAAAATTACACACTCTTCATGTTTACCACTCCCTGCTTTGTTTGCAGAAGAGAGGCTGGCAGGCCATGTTTGTTGAACCTTTTTTATGCTTTGCGACAAGTGGCAACTAATTTCCAATATCTCTTCTTAGTTCAAGCTTCTAATGGAACACCTGGATCCTGATGAAGAAGAAGAAGATGGCGAAGTGTCAGCTAGCACGAACGCTCGCAACAAAGCTATTACCTCGCTGCTTGGAGGAGGCAGCCCTAAAAACAATGCAGCTGAGACAGAGGATGATGAGAGTGATGGGGAGGATAGAGGAGGAGGCACTTCAGGGGTGAGGCGGAGGAGGAGTCAACGTATTTCGCAGCGTATTACGTAAAATGATTTTATGTGCTTCTTAAATGTCAGTCTAAAATAAAATGTACACTTGAGTAATGTAATCCATATGGAAAAAACTGTAGATAGAAATTCTTAACCGTTTATACAACTTTTTTGTAGAAAGTTCTAACAGAAAACACAATAAAAAATACCCCTAGAAGAAGAGATTTTATCTAGCATAAAAAGTTTTAATTTTTCTTTGGAATGTATTGTGTGTATCCTTTTTATTGTTGCCAAGTTTTTATGTAGCTTTATGATTCATTTGTACATATAATTTTATATATCAATAAGAGTTAAAAGACACGGGTACAAATTAAAATATGTGAGTTTTTTTTGCAAGGATATGTTAACCCCTTGGCGCTGGCGGTCGCGGTGCGTCTCATTGCCGGCAATGGAATGTGTGCCGGGAAATCCCAACTCCCGGCGTCAAGGGATTAAAAGCAATAAAAGCAATAATTTCACTCAAGTTCTTTTGTGTAACACTTGGTCTTTTTTCCCCTCCCAATGTTTTAGTCATTGAGAAGGTCAAAACGAAATTCAGACTCTACGGAGTTGGCAGCACAGATGAATGAAAGTGTTGATGTCATGGATGTCATCGCTATTTGCTGTCCAAAGTACAAAGATCGGCCGCAAATTGCAAGAGTAGTACAGAAAACCGGCAGTGGCTTCAGTGTTCAGTGGATGGCGGGCTCCTACAGTGGCTCCTGGACTGAGGCTAAGCGCCGTGATGGTCGCAAACTGGTGCCTTGGGTAGACACTATTAAAGAGTCAGACATTATTTACAAAAAAATTGCTCTAACGAGTGCTAATAAGCTGACTAATAAAGTGGTTCAGACTTTACGATCGCTGTATGCCGCCAAGGATGGAACTTCCAGCTAATGCATTTGTACATGCAGCCAAATTTTACAGGAAATGAAATAACAGAAAAAAAAACTTGAAATACCAACTTTCTGGCAAAAAAAAAAAAGAGTCGATTTAATGAAGAGTAAGAATGACACCTGGGATGCAGGAAACGGAAGGAAATGTTTGGTAAACATTTTTGTGGGAGCTCCCTTCGCTGTTGTGCAGCAGAAACTTCTCAGTTCATTTTTACTCCCACTGTATAATAGTTTAACAAAAAATTGTTTATATCTTGGAAAAAAAACCCTTTCTGTTTAAAAAAAAATAAACAAGTGAATGTTGGAAATTAGTCTGTTAATGTTCTTAATAAAGTGTTCTTGGAGTTTAACCTAGCAGCGGATGGCTTTCTTTAGCTTAGCCCAGTTTTCCAGGGAAGCGTTGTTTTTCCAGGCTGTAAAATGGCAGAATCTCCTGGATATATAATTTATTCTGTTGGGGGGGAAAAAAAGCATGCAGTATCTATGACCTATCTGCAGGAGGAGTTTTTGTAAATGTAGATTTTGATGTATTAGGTCACCCTGAATAATACAAGAAAAGGGATCCCCAGCAAATCTGGTGGAACGAATACTGCAATAAATTTTTTTACTTCTCTTTGTTACTTGTCTGTTTCCATTTGAATTTCTTATTGTAAAGATCTGTTTAAATCCATTTATATTATTTTGCAGTCTTTTATGTAAAATTTACTATATTGGTGGTTTTCAAAGCAAGACATAAATATTGTTTATACAGTTTGTATAGGCTGACTTCTGAATAATTGGTATCTTTTATTTTTAATCCCTTAAAAGGGTGTAAACACAAGTTAACTCCAGGGTTTTATTGTATCCTGCAATATTTAGTATTAACTATATATGATTTAGCACTGTGCCAAACACATTTTCAAGAGTACATTTTGATATAAAAAGAAACTATAGTTTATGCCTTGTATGCTTCAATTTCTTTCTAATGCTGTCCAAATGGCAACCGGGGGGGTGGGAAGAGGGAGAATGTCCATTACTCTGAATAATTAGATTCACTTGGTTAGGACACTGGAGTTTCATGAAGGATGACGACTGTGACCAGGAGCACCTGCTGTGGCCCCAGATCCCACTGGCCATAGTTTCTATAGCTGACAACCAAAAAATAAAATAAAAATACCATAGCTGCACTTACGGTACTCCATTGGCTGCAAATGTTTGAAAAGCGAATATGGATTTGTAACTGATCGGTACTCCTTCGTAAATGTTTTTTTAGAAGCTGGGTGGGGAAACACTTGGTTGCGCTCTGGAGTTTTAATTACTTGAAATCTTTCCCCACTTTTTTATACACTGAAAATGCTTAAACTATCTCTGAAGTGCTTGCTTCAATGTGTGCGGTCAGAAGCCATTCTGTTCTCTGGGTAGCCGAAAGAAGTTGATTTTTTGTAGTCACAGAAGCAGAAGAAATTAGTAACATGAACAGAAATAGAAGTGGACTATTTTAAAGCTTTTTGTGTGTTTAAGACTTATTTGAAGGCAGGTGTTAAAGATTCGGGTGCATTTATTTTCCTTCCATAAGATTTTAATATATGGTGGGGGTGTGGTTTTTTTATTACAACAGTTTACAGAACTTGTGTGTTACTTGAGCCTGTGAAGTAGAGTAACACAGCTATATTCAAAATTTTCTTGTACAAAGTTCAAAAATTAAACTGACACGACTAATAATTTCTCAGAATTTATTTAATAATTACTGTATTAAATGTTTTTCATTTCTTTGTTTTAAGCAGAGTTTGGTGGATATTCTTCTAGAGCAAAGCCAGTCTCTTTAAGAAAGGAAAACAAAAGCTGTGTTCGCAAAATTACTCAACAGGTATTTTTACCTGTTTTGTGTACAACTATTTTGGCTGCTACTACTCACTCGATTTGCTTTCAAGAAGTTGGCAAGTTGGTGTTGTTTATTTTAATATCTCCCTAGGAAGAATTAAGGGCATTCTGGGTTAAAATACTTACCACTACCAAGGAATTTCAGCTTGAGTCTTCTAGTTTTTTGCTATGGAATAGTATTTAAAGGTGTTTGAAATATTCCCGTGGTTATATCTGTTTGCGTAAATGGATTGGCTCAGGATATGTAGTATTCAAACACAGATGTTCATAGAACCATATTGGATGATTTCGTCTGTTTCTAGTAGATCCCAAAAGACTGGAAGCTGGTGCTGGTTGGGTGCTGGTTAGTTATTTCCTTGGAATCTTGCCTCTGGAAATCTATTCTTCAGTGTGCTCCAGGTTGTTATGCAAGAGCTTGTACGCATCTATAATGTCGTCTATAATTTGGTTAACTATGATTTTTTTCCATTTGATATCATATGTCTTGTTGCTTAGTAAAGAGTCTGGGGATGATGAAGAATACAGTGTAGGCGAGATAAATTTAGACAAAATTTAAATAAATATGGTTGTTAAGCCTTGAGCCCCAGTGTTCACCAACATGGAAATTGTTTTGAATGCTTATATCAGAGGCAGGGTTAGGAGCATGCTTCCCTGTATTTCATGAGAAAGCCATGTCCTTTCTTTCCCTTTCAGATCCGGTAAACCTTTACTATCTTTTGCAAACCTTGAGCTAGATCATTATCAGGAGCTGTCCTTGCTAAATCCTTGTCACCTAGTATAGAATACGGCTGCATCAAGGCCTGGAGTGTTGGTCGTACTTTCATGAACACCCTTCATGCCCTTCTGGCTGCAGTAAGCTGCCAGTACTTATCAGTGTTTGCAAAAGCTCCAAACCTAGTTTAAGATAATTAAGATTGAAGCCAAATGCTACTACACTGTTCATAGCTGGGCAACAGCTTTTTCCAAGTATTACAACTAGCTGAAATGATGAGTTGCTGGTAGGCACCAATTAATTGTTAAGAATGAAGGCCATGATAATAGGGGACTAGTGGGCTTCCAGAAATAGTAAACCAACTTCAACAGGTAAAAACTTGAATTGTTTCAAATGTTTGATTAATAGCTGTGCTGGAAGAGGAGAAGATCCTACTCACCCAACATACAAAGGTAGGCCAATGAAACTTGGCATCCATCAGACATCTTTGAAGACACCATGACAATAATGAATACCTCTAAATTCCACAGCTACACTGGTTTGAACTTTTGTAAATTATCTAAATAAATTTCATTGGTCTTATAGCATGCAATCTGTGTACGTGTGGGTTAATTACCAAGTTTTACCTTCTCACTGATAATGTCCTAAAGGGATTGACTTCTTCGTACCTTTAACCATCATTAAGATCAGCTAAAGGAATCCTTCTGATCACTAGACAGCCATGTCTGGATAACAGTGTAAAGAATTAAGGCTGGGCTGCATGGATTGTAAAGAAGAACAGAAGATGCGTTACAATCTATCCTGAAAGACACTGATTTTTTATAATTTGAGTCAAGAGCAAAGTAGTGTCTAAAAAGAGAGGGCAATCAGAAGAAAAATCCAAGGTGACAGTAAGAATGAATGAAATCTATTCACTAAAATGTGCTGCTCTTAATGCATATTTCGGCGTATAGAAGGTTCTTGCTTATCTGTCAAACTTCTCTGATCATCCTAGGTCTCTAATAATTTTGCAGTTTTCTTTGCCACCTCCATCTTCTTCCTAAAGTTTAGCTTTACTGTCGTTTTGGTTCTCTATCTCCCTCTTTAAGATTCAAAGTGCCCTTATTCGTCTCCAATATTCTATTGGTTAGACACATAGCAATCACAGCCTTGCAGCTGTATGTATTATAAAGAAGATCATCCTCTGTTGTCCCTAATTTTCATCTTTTGGTAGTGCATCTTTTCCAGAGTGTTGGGATAGAAGCTGGGCTGCTAAAGAACTTTTTGGTTTCTTGATATTCTCTTGTGGCCATGTATCCATTTTCATTGCCTGTGGTTAGTGGCTCCATTTCAAGACCCAATAACCAAAGCACATTGCTTGCACAATCTGACTACTGGATGCTTTCTAAGGATGTGCCAGTTACTGACAGACAGTATAGACTATTGAGCTAGGGAGAGAGAAATCCTTAAATGTTAGAAAGGGCAGCAGTGATTCAGTTCAGCCTCTAGATTTCCACAACTCCTGTTCACTTCTGTCTCATTTGGCCCAGGAAGCAGATGTTGTGGTCTGTGATGAGAGAACATCAGGTCTGCCGGGAACTGAAGGTGCTTTGTTTCTCAATCTGCCTGAACTCCATCTGTATCAGGAGCATCAAGCACAAAGATATGGACTGATGTGAGTCACAAGAATTAAATGGAAATAAATAGGCCTCAACCACGGAGTTTGCCATCTTATCGTGCAGCAGTATAGAGACGATGTGATAAGAGTGGGAAAAGTGGTCTTGCAACAGTCACTGGGGACCTGTTGTCACAGAGATGACCAAAAGATCATTATTAATTCTTTGGGAGCTAAGTCTTCTACAAGAGAGAAATAGGGGGAGGTCATATACAGAAGGAAATTAACTACTCTTGGACTGGAGTGATCTCAGATCTACTGGCATGCTACCATAAACCATCCATTCTGAAAATGCTTCCGAGAAGACGTATGAAGATGGTGCTCCAGGAATGCAATACACACAAAGGTGGTATCTAGTATATATTCCAGCAGTGGAATTTGAAGGGATGGCATTGTCATACCAGCATTATCAATCTTAGATTCTCTTTAGGAGGTGCTGAATGAAGGACTGAAGCTCAAAGTTCTTAAAGGAAAAGATCCATATTTGGTCACTGCACTGCCTGGTAATCCATCACACAGGGTTTTGTACATCTACACATTCTATTCTGGAGGACAAGTATTTTCTCCACCCTCTCAAGTGGCCTGTTTATCCCCACATGGACTCTAAATGTGGTTTAAAAATGTTCAGTGGAGCATTTATTTGAATGTTACACAGTTTCTTAAATACTAACGCAAATGTAATGCTAGAGGGATAGCTATTGAAGGCTGTGTCCATAGAACAGGCTTTATTCTTCACCTATCACCAGTGAATTCACTTTACAATGCTTTTAGGGCTGTCTAGGAAGACTAAGTAAATCAAGTCTCTCAGGACCAGGTATGACTTTTTAAGATAGACTTGGTCCTGCTGGATAGCTATGTTAGGGTTTTATGGTATCTCTCTATTTTTTTTAAATTTAGGATTGTGAATTGTTTTACAGCCTCAGATTCCTCTCCCAATCCGGGCTAAGGATTACTCAACAAGTGGAATGGGTAGAGCTTAGCATCTTCAGCATTACAATATATATAACTTGTGAAGGCAGCTACCTCAGCCTTCACCATTCTATTACTGTACTTAACTGAGACAGCACTGGTCATAGAGTATTCCAGATTGTTAGTTATTACATCCTGCACAATCCAATGGTTTCAGTTGGTTGTAATTCTTTTTTGAAATAACAGTGATCAAGCTAATGGGCCTACCTTTTGGGAGCCTTTTTATGAATAGAAACTATAATATTGAACTCCCATTATTTTCGAGAGTTTACCTGTGAGATTTGTAGATATGGATACTGCACACAGATTTTGTTTAAATAATATTACTATTGTATCTTTTCCTAAGATACAATATCGTTTCCACTACTA